ATTGTAATGCATTACTTTTAAAAGTAACTTTCCCCAACACTGGTTAAAACTGACTAGTTCAAACCGGAGTTATTACTGTTAACTGAAACTAAAACTAGTAAAAACTTTTTTACTAATTAAAATAAAGTGAAATTAGAAATGTTGCCTTGGCAAGTTGAAGAACTGGAATTACTAACTAAATTAGTAAGTAAATATGATTTATATTGTAAAATGTTATAAATAATAAATATTATAAATTAACGGAAATTACTAAATATATAAAGAGTAAAACTATTGAAAAATGTAAGCATGTTAAAAAGCATGTTAATTAAAGTAAAGTAAAGTAAAGTATTACATGAAAACTTTAACGAAATAAAAATTAGAAATGTTGCCTTGGCAAGTTGAAGAACTGGAATTACTAACTAAATTAGTAAGTAAAAATGATTTAAATATAAATATAAAAATATAAGCATGTTAAAAAGCATGATAATTGAAATAAAATAATAAAATAAAATAAAATATTAGATGAAAACTTTAATTAAATGAAAATTAGAAATGTTGCTAAGGCATACAAAAAATATTATAAAATAAATAGTATAAATTAACTTAAAATACTAAATGAATACAAACTAAAACAATTTTATTGTACATTTAAATGATGAAACAAAATTAAACCCGTTCTCAGTATCTGAGGCTCCAGATCTGAGATCAGCTTCATGATTGCGCTTACAATGGACACGGATTAGGTGGAGGAAGCAAGGGTAAGATTAAAAGCGTCTGACGTCTCCCTCGGGAACTCACCCCACGGTCGGGTCAAGCGCGAGACCTCTCGGGTTGCCCAGGTGCTCGGCGATCAGCGTGACACGGTTGCTCCCGTCCAAGTCCACCATGTCGATTCTGTTGACGCTGGCCTCCACCACGTACAGCTTGTTATTCACCCAGTCCACAGCCAGGTTTTCAGGATAGTCCACGGATACGTTCAGCACCACCTGCAAACGCGACCCGTCTGTATCCACGGAAAACACCTATTTGGAGCAAACAAGTTGTGGTTGGAGAAGTTGTCGTTGAAATAAAATAATAAAATAAAATAAAATATTAGATGAAAACTTTAATTAAATGAAAATTAGAAATGTTGCTAAGGCAAAATATCATACAAAAAATATTATAAAATAAATAGTATAAATTAACTTAAAATACTAAATGTATACAAACTAAAACTATTTTATTGTACATTTAAATGATGAAACAAAATTAAATATAAATAATAGATGAAAAACATAAACTAAATGGAAATTAGAAATGCTGCTTTGCCAAGTTGAAAAAAAAATGAATTCACTAACTAAATTACTAAATAAAATTAATATTAAAGAGACATATTATAAATAATATTATAAATACATAAACTATTAAAATTACTAAATATTTATAAAAATAAAAATAAATTAAATTAATAAAAATTATTAAATTAACTGAAATTACTAAATAAATAACAACTAAAACATTTTTGTTAACTGGAATAAAAATGAAATAACAATATAATTATTAGATGAAATATTTTAAACTAAATGAAAATGAAATTACTAAATTATTTACTAAATAAATAAAACGAACATTCTAAATAAATAAATAATAATGAAATAAAAAAATATATAACATAATAAAAAAAATTTAACTAAACCTACTGTAAATAGGAATATTTTTTTTTAAATGACTAAATGTCTACAATGGCTAAAAATTAAACAAATTAAAACTGAAAATATGAAAATAAAAGCTTATTCAAAATAGTAATATAAAAACTAATAAAAGTATATACATAATATTAACACAGGTTCAACCAGCAGAAATCCCTTGGCTAACCAGCTTCACTTGAAAGACCATCATGGTCAACCTGCCTCAAGCTCGGCTAATGAATGGCTAAAACTAGTTTTTTTCTTTAGTATGCAGCACGAAATCAGTCTATAAAAACTCAAACTGATCTAAGGTGGTCTTTTCAGCAGTAATCCTACACGAACATAATCAAAACTTGACATTACATTCTCTTCTTAAATAATCATGGGTAATAAGATTGTGGTCTGGCTTATATCATCTGACATCCGCGAGTTTGGCTTTCTCCGCTGCCCCAGAGGTGGTACTCTGAAACCACTGCCCTATCGATTAAAAGATGGCACCAGTTTCTCAGGCTGGATCCCTTGGCATCATAACACAAGCTAAGGCACCAACGCTCTTTGCAGGCTTCACCCTTTGGAAACCAGAGTCAAACGTCTAAAAGACTGCGATCCTGAGCTGACCCGTTTACAGAAACTCAAGCTGTGAAGGTGGTCTGGTGCTGTGGCTCTCTGAGACCCCCTGCCACGACACTCAGAAACCCGTCTTCTTGCATGTACCCACTTTTTTTTATTCCATGGCTGATCTCCAAATCACAAAGTAGCCAAGAGTTTGAAACAAAGCTCTTTGAGCTGGCCAAAGAATGCGTAAAGAAGGGACGAATACTGCGCGCTCACTCCAGATACTCTCAGGTTGCATAAAATTACGCAGAAATATGCAAGCATTTCCCCGCATATCAGACACTTTCAGGAGATTAGAAAACGTGGAGTCTAGCACCGATCCGAGCCAGTTGCCGTGACTGCGGCCCTTCAGGAGCCAGACTGGTCGCCCATTATTAACGTATTAGCAGTATCTACAGGCATCAGCTGAAGAATCCCCTTTCCGCTGATGAAGAGCCAACTTCCTTCATAGCTTCCACAAACTGTTTTTTTCTTTAATCCTCAGAGACTAAGCACTGACATTAAACATATATATTTTTTTCTTTTCTTCACATTTTTTGTATTGAGATGAATCTTGGTTAAACATTAGTAAAACAAAATAAAAATAAAAAAAATTTTTAAGGATGTAAAATTGCATTTTCTACACTGGAAATCGAAAAAATACAGTTTTTACAATATAACTTACACTACAATTTAACAAATACATACACTGTACACTGGTGTTCAAAAAATGTATTAAGATGGTCATTAAGACGTTTTTAGATAAATTAATTTAGAGAAATTAAGGATGTTTTAAATTGATCAAAAGTGACAGGAAAAGACATTTATAATATTGCGAAATATATTTTTATTTTAAATAAATGCTGTTCTTTTGAACTTTCTACTCATCAAAAAGTCCTGGGAAATTTAAAAAATATCACAGTTTCAAGAAAAATATTACACAGTGCAACTGTTTTCAACATTGATAATAATCAGAAATGTTTCTTGTGCAGCAAATCAGCAGATTAGATTGATTTCTGAAGGATCATGTGACACTGAAGACTGGAGTAATGATGCTGAAAATTCAGCTTTTCATCATAGGAATAAATTACATTTTACAATATATTAAAGTAGAAACCAGTTATTTTAAATTGTAATAATATTTCACAATATTACAGTTTTTACTGTATTTTTAATCAAACAAATGCAGCCTTGGTGAGACTTCTTTCAAAGATATTTAAAAATCTTAACAACCAGAAACTTTTGAATGGTAGTGTGTCTACATTAGGGATGTGCGCGACGACTAATTTGACTGACGTTTAAACGAAAGTTTTGTATCCGACTAGTCGACTAGTCTAAAAGCAAGAAACCCCCAAAAGATGGTAAGAAAAAAAAAACC